GTGGGGGGGGGGGAGGATTCTGCTGATTTTAGGGCATAATGACCTTCCATGAGGTTGTCAATGGTATAACATTGTTAATTATATTAAAATAACACATAAAATAGGGATCCTAATGTGTAACATATCTGGAATATTACGAGAAGCTCTGTGACCGAATGCAGCTTTCTTCATTTTGCCAATGTTAGCGGTGCAAAATCAGCAAACATATAACATGCCTGGGAGTGGGTTTAGATTTCTTGATAATGCCAAAAGGGTCAGGATCTCTGCATCTTGCAATTTGAGTACTGCATCTCAAGGAGGGTCAGGGTTATGTGATTAGAGCAAAACTCTGTGGTTGTGGTCAGTTCAGAACATATTTTGATAAACCAGTGACAGCAGTGTTGAGAAAAAAAAGTGCTGAAAGGGACTCCTGGCTGATTGGTTTTCAGTGAGGTTTCTATCCACCTTTAGGGCATCTCTGATGTCCTCCATTTTATTTTCCAAGTCTGTAGTTCAGTAATTATTGTCTACATTTTTTCCACCAGTGCCATCACCAACTCTTCTGTTAAGATCTCCTAGATGGAGGTTAATAGGTCATTGTTGGACGATTTGGCAGTCTGTTAAGCTGGCTGTGAGAGTAGCACAGGTAAAACTCATTCTGATTCAGAATCAGCAGAGGAAGCTGGAAAGGGAGGCATCATGTCATCCTGATGTCCACTCTTGTCACTATCAGGAAACCCATCTTGGGAAATGTCATGCAGCCGTCGTTAGCGTGCATGTAGACAGAAAAGCAGCTGCAAAGAGATGTAATTAAAAAAGTAAAAAAAGGTGAAAACGGTATTTTATTTAAAACAAAAAGCAGCATCTCGAAATGTAAAGCATATGAAACCCTAGTTTGAAATTAAATACTCTCTATTGCAATGCCTTTGATATTGTAAATCATTCAAATTGTTTTTAAAGAAGAACTCCAGGATTTCTAAAAAGCTTTAAGGCTTTGAAACTTTAAAGTTTAACTCCAGGCAAGTATAAACGTTGCACATTAATGTAGCTCTTTATTCATTAATAAATCATTAAACAGCGATATAGTAAGCGCACTACTCTGAAGGTGGATTGATGCGTTTAAAATAACTAACGGTATTTGGCGTGCTAGCTCCTCAAACAGGGAGAGGGACCCTGTAAGCACAAAAAAAAAACAAATCGGAGAAACGCTACTCCCCTTTAAATATGCATATAAATATAATTATAAATAAACATGTATGTTGTGGTGTTTAAAGGAGAACTATGAGGTGAGTGCTTTTCACTCATAGTTCTAGCTGACCTGTGACAATGAGACCTGTGACAATGTCACAGGTCAGCTCAGTAGATCGGGAGGTGAGCGAACACATACCGGCGTTCGCTCCGCTCACCTCTCGATCCTGTCACTGCTCTCTGTCGTGACAGGGGAGGCACTGGAGTCCCCGCTCCGAACCACCAGCGCTGACAGGCGGAACGGACGGGGGAGGGGGCGGGTACAGCTGGCTCTGCCTCTAGATAGGCAGAACCAGCTGTCAGTCACGCAGCTGGGTGGATCCCGGCACAATTGTCGGGATCCGCTTCAGCGTCTCAGTATACCGCGAGCAGCAGCTCGCAGTATACTGCGGCGTCTCAGTATACCGCGAGCTACAGCTCGCGGTATACTGAGCCTAGGGTGACGGGAGGATGCTAGTTTGTGTCCTCCCGTTACCCTATGGAGAACTATGGGGAAAAGCCTTAACCCCATAGTTCTCCTTTAAGCCTAACAGCATTGGCCTGGGGCTAGATAGACAATTGATTGACCAATAGGATAAAATGACTCAATGTTGTATAATGGATGTCTCAATGATAACTGATTAGGAGGAGTGGCATTTCTCTGCCGAGAGGGGCGCCTGTCCGGAATCCCGGATCCCAGAAAAAAGTGAGGGCTGAGAGAGGGCTGTGAGCTGTATTTTGGCCGGTTGCCTCTGATAGGGGCATGTATATCTGTGAAGAGTCACAAGCATAAGGTGTCTCTGTGCAGAGTCACGAGGTCTCAGCTGGCCAGACTGAGCCTTAGTGTCTGCGTAAGGCCCCATTCACACTGCGCGATTAGCAAATCGCACGTTTGTCGCGCGATTTGCGCCCAGCCCTTCCGCCCAGCCCTTCACCGACGTCACACCGGGTATCGATCCCACTGCTTACTATCAGTGAGACACACAGAGACACGGCGAGTCTGACCGCAGCGGTCTCCTCCTTATCCTATTGGTCAATTAATTGTCTATCTAGCCCCAGGCCAATGCTGTTAAGCTTAAACACCACAACATACATGTTTATTTATAATTATATTTATATGAATATTTAAAGGGCAGTAGCGCTTCTCCGATTTATTGTTTATTAATAAATCATTAAAGCAGAACTCCAGCCAAACTAAATCTTAACCCTTGCAGTGGGGCTACCCCAATAAGGGGTAATGCAAGGGTTAACTGCTAATTTTGGTCTAGGGGTGAAAATAAAGAAGATATACTCTCCCAATCCCTGGTCCTGTGGTAGTAACCAGTCACCTCTCTCCCTCTCCGCTCTGGCTGTGATATGTCCCTTGGGGTCCTCACATGATGATGTCACTAAATGGAGCCTGAGGGAGAATAGGCTACGGGGACTGACCTAGCAGTCAGCCAGGACCGGGGACCTGGGTGAATTTTTCTTCTTTATTTTTGCCCCATAGACAAAACGAGCAATTAAGGGTTAATTTTTAAAAATCCTGGAGTTCTTTAAATATTGGTTTTGTAAATGTTGCATTTACATTTTTCATATTTGAAGCCCTCTGTCTGCTGTGCAGTGCTTGCCTCTTCCATTCGGGAATTGTGCACACAAACTCTTCCTCTTATATTGGACAGTGTAACTATATGCCCCATAATGTATTGTGTGCAATATTAATGCGCATTTGCAATAGAGTCTCTACTGGTTTGAAAATAGAGCAGTTGCACGCATTTCTGTAGTCCCGGTGGCTCCATAGAGAGCAACTGGAGAAACAGAAGTCGGGGGGGGGAGAAAATAATAAAGGATAAATTACAAAGTTTAGACAGTCCCCAAATTGGATGAAGAATCAAGGGAAAATGTGGTGTGGCTGCCTGATTACAGTATTAAAGAATTGGGTTTGATAACACTTTAATAAAAACAAAAATTCTAACAGAAATGGCAATTGTTTATGATACTAAGAACTAAATATTATTCATTTATGGCTTTACATCTAGATTAGAATTAAAGGAGAACTATGGGGTAAGTGCTTTTCCCCATAGTTCTCTTAAGGGACACGGGAGGACATATACTAGCGTCCTCCCGTGACACAAAGCTCAGTATATCATGAGCTACAGCTTGCAGTATACTGAGACCGCCACAGCCGGGATGGATCCCAACATTACTGTCGAGATCCACCCAGCTGTGCGATTAACAGCTGGCTCTGCCTACCTAGAGGCAGAGCCAGCTGTACCCTCCCCTCCCCCGTTCGTTCCTCCGGTCAGTGCTGGCAGATCGGAGCGGGGAGGGGGGGGATACCTGTGGGAAGTCGTGACTGACAGTCACTGCTCTCTGCATCGAGATGAGCGAGAATTGAGCGAGCGACGTTATGTGTTCACTCACTTCCCGATTTTTTGAGCCGACGTGTGACAGTTTCATTGTCACACGTCGGCTCGAACTATGAGGATGAGTGATGTTCACTCACCTCATAGTTCTCCTTTAATGCCAAGGTAATGCTTTCGGATGCAGTACAAGTTGGCCTTGTGAAACCAAACTCTTCCACAAACAGCAAGCAACTAAAATGGACCTGACACATTCAAAATACCCAGAAAACTCCATGATTAGAAAAAAACAAGCACAATACCTGCTTGCTTTACCCCCCAGTCCATCCCCACGTCCCATCCCGTCCCCCACATTTGTTAACACCATTATATTCCCTGCTAAATACAGGGATGCTTTAAAGAGTACAGCCTCTATCTCTCCATTAGCATATTCAGTGTACCACCATATGTATATGTGCTGTGTGCGTGTTTAACTCAGCACCATATCGTCTTCACATTCCTGGCATTTTGTCCTTATTAAGTATGCAGAGAGAGATTGTGCATATTAATGAGACACAAACCGAGCTGAGCATCTGTGTCCAAGAATATTTTCCTCAATAAATAAACCTTTAAATGATACACTTAGAACCATAATAAATGGATACCTTCCTGCTTTGGTATATATCATTTGCCTGATATTTAATATAATTGGCCAGCAATTTATTTGAGGAACAATTTGTATCTCTATTATCTTTCAGTCTATAGCTATGTTATTGCAAATTGTAAAATAAATGTGAAGATGACTTCCTCTAGGTGTTGGGATGACAGTGGAAAAATGGGCACAGTTTTCAGCTATCATCTTCATTTTGTTTCAAGTTGGCAGATGAAAGCTAGAAAAAAATGAATTGATTCGCTGCAATTAACTGGTGATGTTTGATTGTTTCCTTGATGATGGATCTGGGTGCAGGAGATTGTTGTGTGAGACACAGAGTGATCATCGAGCTGCATGCAGGCCTGACCTGATAAAGGCTCAGGCAAGAACAAAGGAGAATGAAACGAGGCCAAACATCCAGCAGCACTCAAGCTGGTACCTGTGAAATGTACTGCATTGATTCAATTACCTGTGTTTCTCACCATTTGAAACATACAGTCATGTTGAGAATTCAGAAATTCCTGCCTGCTGTGTACACACTTCTCAGATTCTTACATTTTAGAAAACTCCAGGCAAAATGCAAAATTCCGAAGGAAATGTGTAAAATGAAAATCTGGGTTTGATGTGCCTTTTAGGTAGTGTGATAGCTGAATACTGTTTCTTAAAGAGAACAAGTCTTGATTTATTTTGCGCAGGAATCTGAATATCTATAGTTACTTTATGTGCAGTCTTATAAAAGGTTTGTATTTTCTGCTAATGTATGTTTACTTGCATTGTCCGAGATAAGTGTCAAGGGGTTCGAGGACTCCTAAAATCTTAAGGCCTCATGCAAATGAGCATCCAGGGATTCCTACAGCAAAAACAACGGATTCTAGGGGCAGAAATCGCAGATTGGTCTGTACATATGCGGCCTCTGTGTCCAATATGTGCACAGCAATTTACATCTGACATGTCTACGTTATTATTAATCATCATATAGAGGGCGTTTGTTTGTATGTATGTGTATATTCATGCAAGTGCTAACAGTATGCTGTGAGCTAGATATACTGTGATTTTATTTACTTCTCCATATGTCTGTGTGTTATAACAGCTGATATACATGATATTGCCGTAAACAGGTTTTACTCACATTTACAGGCTGTTACATTATACAGTATTTAGACCTTAGACATGCTTTAAATCAGTGGTTCTCAACCTGTGTAACCTCAGGACCCACATTTGTCCTCGGTCATTAAGTCGTGACCCAAGTTGCACTGCAATGGAACACGGCAGTGTGGGCTGCTGTGCTGTTATGGAGCTCCATTCATATGTGCATTGTTTGTACACTCCTATGCGCACCTGTAGAGGTTCTGGGAGCCAGAATGTGATGTCACTCCGGTCCAGGCACCTCTACAGGACATGCGAGGGAGCTATAAGCAATGCAAGTATGGATGGAGCTCTCTCATGGCCATACCCCCAGCCCCACCTCAAGTCGACACTCAGCAATGGGCAGCATATTTTGAATGGCTGCTTGGCGTGAGAACAGACAGTGCTGCACTGGGGGGAGGCTAGGGGTGCCTCTCGCCTAGAAAAGTGGAAGGCATGCGGCGACCCACTGAACACGGGGTCGCGACCCACTTTTGGGTCACGACCCACCAGTTGAGAACCAAGGCTTTAAATAAAATTAAAACTAGCCATACACAGCTCGATTTTCTGTCATTCAAGAAACAAGAAACAATCAAGTGATTCCCCCATTAACCCTTAAGAGGGTGCACAGAGGAATGGTTATTGCTGGCTATTGTATTCAGAAGCCACAGCAGCAGCACCACCAGCTGCCTAAATATAGTGGCACTGCCAGTCAGTGACTGCAACAGGATACAGTCCCTGTTCAGTCAATAATTTCCCCCCTCCCTAAATCAACTTTTATCAAACCAGACGGGGCTTGTAGGGCCCCCACAGCTCAAATTTCAGCTGATTTAGCAAGAATTGAGCAAGTCTAAGACAAGAGTTATCAAGTTGATAAGGATTGTTTTTAAACACATTCTAACCATGCTTAGCGCAATTTCTTTTATGCATTTCATGGCAAAAATCAGTGGCTTTCAATGGTTCATGTAAGATGAAGCTTTCACATTTATGATTTGCTGACCTACCTCAAGTCATTTAAATGATGTTCTGCAAGACATATGATAGCCCATCCAAATAATCACACAGATCATTTCTAGGGTTTCCTTTTGTGTCAGGGGTCAGGTAATTGGTTAGGTTAGGGTTAGAGTCAAGAGATAGGGGTTAGGGATAGTGTTTAGAGGGATAATTTAATGATAATCCATAGGTTCAAGAAATACTCCATGATTATGTATTTTGTAATACTGCCATAAAAGAAAATCAAAATCTTGATTCCTTGTAGCCATGGCAACACTGGCAGTATTCTCTAAAAAGGTTCTTATATGGAGCTCCCCAAACAGAACATATTTTCTAGTTGATGCAGATGGCTCCCTGATTTTCCCTGCAGGTTGTCCCTAATTATAAGGGCTGGTCATATGACTTTAGCAGACAGGTCATTGCACTCAGAAACTAGTAAGTGAGTAGATCCCATACATCAGTTTTAGCATAACAGTAGGTAAGAATCTGCACTGACATTTGCTAAATCCCTGCATATATACATGATTTGGAGAGAAATGTTTTTACTTAGCAAAGGTGAAGTTACACTTAGTTGTTAGTAATCCAGTTAGAGGTTAAAGGATATTTTTTACGTTAGGTTAGGTGTCAGAAAGAAGGTTGGGCCAAAGAGTTAGGCAACTAATTTAAGAGACACTAAAGGCAGGAGTTAAATCTTAAAAATGCATTAAATTACCTTAACTGATAGCAATACTCTATCTCAGGCCTCAAAATTTCCACTCGCAATTGGCGAGTGAAAATTGCATGGGGGCGAGTGGAATGTCATCGAGGATGCGCCGCCGGCGGGACCAGGGATGGGACACTACCTCTGC